ATTTAAAAAAAAAAATACAACATCCCCCAGTGGGACAGTAAAGAAGCTGGGGAGGACTAAAGGCTCTGGGGGTGCAGGTTTCTAAGCCGGGAGATGTCCCACGGCTGGGCTCTCGGGGGAGGGGTGTGCAGGTATCTGGGGTGTAAGGGTGCCCACGGCTGGTCTCTGGGCTCCGTGGGATCATGCAGCCCTATCCAGAACCCCCCAACTGGAACTGGGTTTTCATAGGGGTTTTTTTAAACTCTACTCCTGGAGGAATCTTTTTTGTTGTTGTGTGTATTGTTGACATACTTGCCGACAGGTATTTTGAAATAAATTACCAAATAATTGAAACTGGAGTGATTATATTGTGTTATTTTGACAAATAAAATTTGCAGCATTTTTAATTCTTTGGTGCAGAATTTTTAATTTTTTTTAGCACAGAATCCCCCCAGGAGTAATAGACTCAGAACACTGAAGAGCGATTGGATCGTGGATAGACTGACATCTACCTGGAGCTTGGATAGACCTTGTAAAATCCAGTCATCGAGTTAAAGAAATAATTGCATGCCTCCCTTTCCCTAGGAATGCAGGCAGCATCACCATTCATTTTGTAAAGACTCATGAGGCAGCAAACAGGCCAAAGGGTGGGACCATAAACTGAATGTTGTTGACCAGAAAACTTAGGAATCTCCTGTGGTTTTGATGGATATACATGGAAATACATATCCTTAAAGTCAACAGCAGCGTATCAGTCACTGAGGTCCAGGGAGGGGATGATGGAGACCAGAATGACAATGTAAAACTTTCTTTTTGTTATTTATTTATGCAAATTTTGCAAGCCTAGGATAGGTCTGACACTTCCTTTTTCCTTTGGAATTGGGAAGTAATGTAATAGAAACTCTTCCCTCAATGGAGAGGGGGAACCCCTTCTACAGGTCCCAAATGGAGAAGAGAGCACACTTCTCAGACGAGGGCATCCTCATGAGAGTGGTCCTTGATGAGAGACAAGGAGAGAAGTTGAGGGGGGGACTGGAAATAAACTGCAAGGTGTATCCCTGTTCCACAGTAATTAGGGGGACCAACCACACAGAAAGTGTGTTGGAAAAATTAGGGGAGAGAAAAACCAGTACATTGCAATCTGGTACACTGTCCCTGACAAGGCAGTCAAAGAGACTGGTTGCGATATCCCAACTGTCTTGAAGAACTCACAGAAGATGTTTTTTCCCTCGTTTTCTAGATTGATTATGCTATTGTCGGAAAACCTGGCACTTCTGTAGAGACTGAAGGTGGAACTGCTTTCTTTCAGAGAAAGGCATATAAATTCCCAATTATTTCAGTGTGGACCATCTCATCCATCTTCTGTAAGATAGGGAGATACTGGATCATCTGATAGATCTTTTACGGGGGACCCAAGGACTGAAGTCATGAACATTTACATGTACTTCCTGAATCTCCCCCCATCTAAGGATGCTTGTAGAGAGGTCCAAGCCATCAGCTTGCCCTCATCTAATCTGGTCTAGAATTCCTGTCTGGCATCCTCTGTCAACTTGTCGGAGATCTTCAGGGTATTGGCTCAGAGGGAGAAGTTGTATCTGGCCAATAAGGTTTATTGGTTAGAGATACAAAACCATAGACAAGAAGTGGTACAAAGCTGTCCACTGACAAGGCCTGATTTCTTTGTGTCTTTGTCCTTTGGTAGAAGGAAATCATCCCTGATACACACTTTCATTCACTGCAGAGACAACTGGGAAACCTGGTGAATGATGTGCTTGAAAATAGCAGGTATGGTATTTTTCTCAGTTTTCTTAGCTGTCAGAGGCAGACAGCATGGTTTTCCACAAAGATTTTGTAGATTCTAGGATGGCCTCATTGATAGGTAGAGCCACTCTAGAAGGTCCTGCTGAACCCAGAACGTCCACTAGCCTGTGAGAACTCTCATGAACTACTTCAACAGGAATAGCAAGAGAAGTAGATACTCTCTTTTAAAGCTCTTGATAAGCCCTGTAGTCATCCTGAACAGGTGAGAAATCCCAGGAAACAAGAGTCTCTGCAGATGATGAATAGGAATAATGCAGAGGAGGCTGAGGTTGATCCTCCTGTAGTGAGATGGGTCAAGGTTCCGAACCCCGAGTCTGGTCTTCAGGGTCTTGGCTCAGAACCAACCTCAGTACTGACAATAGCCTCCTAGATCTACTCGTGTGAGCTAGCCTGTCATCTGCTAGATCTGTAAATTTTAAGAACCAGGGAGGATCTGGAAGTGGGAGGCATGTCCCACAGGTTCCAGAAAGACCATGGGTATGGCATAGAACCTCAGCAATCACTGCTCCATGGATCCATGTCTCTGGAACTCCAGTGGGTATCAAGAATAGAATTCCCACAATTAAGGTGAAGGGGAGTATCATCAGGAACAAGGGGCATAAGTGTGTAGAATCATAGAAGATTATGGTTGGAAGAGACCTCAGGAGGTCATCTAGTCCAATTCCCTGCTCAAAGCAGGACCAACACCAACTAAATCATCCCAGCCAGGGCTTTGTCAAGCCAGGTCTTAAAAACCTCTAAGTGGACAGAGATTCCACCACCTCCCTAGGTAACCCATTCCAATGCTTCACCACCCTCCTAGTGAAATAGTGTTTCCTAATATCCAGCCTAGACCTCCCCACTGCAACTTGAGACCATTACTTTTTGTTCTGTCATCTGCCACCAAGAACAGACCAGCTCCATCCTCTTTGGAACCCCCCTTCAGGTAGTTGAAGACCGCTACCAAATCCCCTCTCACCCGTTTCTTCTGCAGACTAAATAACCCCAGTTCCCTCAGCTTCTCTTCATAAGTCATGTGCCCCAGCCCCCTCATCATTTTTGTTGCCCTCCACTGGACTCTCTCCAATTTGTCCACATGCTTTCTGTAGTGTGGGGCCCAAAACTGGACGCAATACTCCAAATGTGGCCTCACCAATGCCGAATAAAGGGAAATAATCACTTCCCTGGATCTGCTAGCAATGCTTCTACTAATGCAGCCCAATATACTGTTAGCCTTCTTGGCAACAAGGGCACACTGCTGACTCATATCCAGCTTCTCATCCACTGTAATCCCCAGGTCCTTTTCTGCAGAATTGCTGCTTAGCCAGTCAGTCCCTTGCCTGCAGCACTGCATGGGATTCTTCTGTCCTAAGTGCAGGACTCTGCACTTGTCCTTGTTGAATCTCAGATTTCTTTTGGCCCAATCCTCCAATTTGTCTAGGTCACTCAGTGTACACTAGGTGTACCTCAGACTCTGAGGAGGACCTTGAATTGCTTGACCACACTGGTGATGTGCCAGGTGATGCCAGGATCCAGGAACGTATCTCCAGATATACCAGAACGTGGGACAGCATGTTAGATTTACTTCTGGACTGCATGCTTCATAGATCTAGCCTCCACAGTACCAAGTACGGATCTGGGCTCTGAGATTGTGTGTAGCCACGGCCTAACTTCCACTGGTACCTGCCAACTTGTCTCCTGGACAATCAGAGAATCCAGTATCAAGAGGCAGAGTAGGTCCTGTGCTTCTGCATAGGCTTCTGGCACTAGTGATATCAAGAGATTTTCCCGGTGCTTTTCTTGTTGCACCAAAAGAGTTGGCACTGCAACATCAATAGCATAGGCACCGGTGCCGGAGCTGAAGACCCTTGATGAAAATAGGTCACTGCTGGGGAATCTCTCTTTCCATAGGACACTCTACCTTGTTCTTCAGATTGCTTACTGTTGTTTACTGTTCTGGTCTGAACTTTTGTGCTTCTTTCTCAGCACCGGAGAAGGGGATTGGTGCTGCGTTTCAGAAGCAATGTCTGCAGGACTGCTCCTCACCGATGTTGAAATACTTGGTGCCCGCCCTGAGTGGGAAGGGTCAGAAAGTGGACACAAAGCGGCCTGCACAAGGAGGTGACGCAGTCTCACCTCTCTGTCCTTTTTTGTTGGGGATTTAAAGTCCTTGCAAATCTGGCAGTGGTCTAGAGTGTGACCCTCACCAAGGCATTTAAGGCAGATGGAATACAAGTCACTCACCAGCACAGATTTCTTGCAAGCCAGCAAAAGGCTTAAAACCCAGAGACCGAGGCATACGCTGGCACTGTGAATAAGAGGGAACCTCTGTTCCAAGAAAAACAACAAAGAAGAGCTACACTAATCTTAACACTAGCAAAGGCCACGAACTTACCTATGTACAGAAAGGAAGATAATTTCCCTCTAAAAATAAACTTGCAGAAGTAAGGCAATGCACTCTATCGATCGTGGGTGGTAAGGAGGAACTGAGCGTGGTCTGAGGCGGTGCTGCCTTTTATACCATCATGCAGCAATCACTAGAAGAACTACTTTAACGTGCAGAATTAATTTTCATAAAATAGCTCAAGAAATACCTCAAATAAAAAGAAGATAATGAAATGGACTATACAGAATTGAGGTTTTAGTATTTATCAGGTAATTATAATAGCAGCAAATATAATTACTAGAAGAACTTTCCGTTAAGTATTGTTGATTAACTTTAGGCACCCAAAGTTTGAAAATTTTGACCTTTGACTATATTCTATATACTATCCTTGGGATGAAAGTCACTATAAATAGAAAACTTTATTTTATCACCTATGAGAAACAGGTAAAAATCCACTCAGGAAAGAATGAGCAAAACTTACTTTTCATTGGTATCCAGTAGCATGCAGAACACAGTCTAAAAAAGCAGACAACACTAAAACCTTCACAATTTCAGTCAAGATACATGGAAGAAGATACCCATTATAAAAGAAAATGTTTTATTTTCAAGCTATAGCAAGGTGAAAATATAGGAACTACAGAAATTTTCCAATGCACATGGACTGTTTAACCACAAAGTCAGGTTTTCTAAGTAAAAGGTAAGTTACAGTTGGTATCTTATAAAATATCCAGCAGTTCCACACCTCTCTCCATACATCTTATTAATTCCATTCAGCAGCTTTTGTCTACATGTTGTTGTGGATATCTTGGGTTGCAAGGATGACTGGAAGACTTACCTTGTTGCAGGAAGGGTACTGACGTGCGTAAAGAAGACAGATGGCTCCACTTCCACATGAAGGCCCAGAGAGAGGTTCCTGTAATAGCCATCAGCATGTCCTGGTCCCCCAGAGTATTTGAAATTCAAAATGGCTTCCAGTGTCTGGAAAAATAATGGTAAATAAGTTATTAATTACAGCTCATTTCTGTGCATCATAACTGCTCAATCATCAAATTAGGTCATGGAAAATGTGCATCAGTGGTGAAATTTCTAAACCAGTCTTAATAGAAGTTATTACAGACACATGAAAATTGATTTGTAACATGTCAAAAAAATTATGGTAGCTTTTGAAGCAAAGTTGTCGTGCGTACATTACAGACAATGGTGGGTGTATCTATGGTAGCAGTTCCCAACCACTAATATATTGCTTTTATTGGTGCTAATTCAGAATTTTATGAGCGCTACTCTAGACTCCCCACTTTTTTCTTAATGAGCAGCCTCTGCTGGTTCCCATCACACCATTTCCCATTCCACTGTGTGCTCTCCAACTCGCAATGGAGCTTTTGTGGATCCAAATCCAAGTTACACTGGCTGGTGCAACAGAGGTCTTAGAGTGGAAAACCAGCTGTTGCCAAAAAAGGTTTAGAAGCACTGGCCTATGGTATAACTTCAACCACCAAAACAAAGAAGAACAAAAAAGCAATATCACATGAACTAGATGCCATCACTTTTCAGAGGCTTTCACTTCAAGCTCCACAAAGCATTTTACAAGATCTGCAAATATTTGGTGCTATTGCTTACTCAGAAACCACTCAGGAACAATCAGAGACCAGAAGTAATTCAAAATGTCCTAGTTAAGAAGGAACTTCATGTTGTGAAGTAATCTGACACTGTTCTATTTTCAGGTCATATTGAGGGAATGGAAACTGAGGATTTATGTTAGCTAGTAATTCACTGTTCTGCAATAAGTATGTGTCTGGGTACCACATTAACCCATTCACAATTCATCCAGAACAGTGCAGCTTAACCTTGCTTCCTAATATAGCCCTAAATCAGAATTTACAATATCAACAGAAGTAGTCACTGGGCACTCTGTGCAGTTACTTCTATTGCTTTTAAAATAATTTCTCATTGAAAGTTAATGAACCTAAACGTATGTAAGGTCAGGAGTTGATCAATAGCAAGTACAAAAATAAACAATGCAGACCCACTATAAACAAACAATTTCATTCTGCTTTTCCAGGTGGCTTAATTAACAAACAGAGCTGGAATCATCAAGTCCAGAAAGCTGACACTGCTTAAGACTAAGTCGTAACTTGAAACAGAACCTCAACATTTAATTAGGAATTCTGCAATGAAAAGCATGGATCTCTAGGCATTATTTTATTGCTGTAATATTCATGGCATTCGGTCATATAAAGTTGATGGGATAGGGTTTTCATTGTCCTCTATAATCAGAGGGACATTGCAAGCACTTATATATGAAAACCCCTCAGTATATTCAAATACCTACAACAGGGAAAACCTGAGCTCTTTAGAAGGCTCTCTTTACTGAGAATGAAAAATAGGAGTAAATTTTTAAAATGTACTTTTTATTCATCATATGAACCAAAAGAGCCCTCAAAGTCAAAAATTAAAAGTGCAATTCAACTTTGAATAGCAACAATGTAAAAATGGCTCCTTCAAAGCTGAACTGCTTGTTGGGTGCATTCAAGTAAAATCTATTCAGTTTCATGGTAAAAATTCACAAAACAAAAACTTAATTTAACATTAAGTAAGGCTGCTCTCATCAATAAACGAAACCATAAAAAGTTAGGAAATATGTTAAGGATTAAAAAGTTAGAGAGTCACGCATTCTCAAAAACAACAGAGGGTCCTGTGGCACCTTTAAGACTAACAGAAGTATTGGCAGCATAAGCTTTCGTGGGTAAGAACTGCACTTCTTCAGATGCAAGACTTGCATCTGAAGAAGTGCAGTTCTTACCCACGAAAGC